CCACTAAGCTTGAGCCTCCATTATATCATACGCGTTAGTAAAAAATGACATGAATGTTTAGCGTCTTTGAGCTGCCGCAGTTCTAAAACTTAGCTGTATGGCTTAACTCCTTATCAGAAGAAACTAAACTTTTAACAGCATGATTTTGGCGTTCAAGGAAGTTGGATCCAGCTCTCTTCCACCATTCAACAACTTTTTCTACGCACCTTTTTGATTCTGGATGCATTTCCAAGCTGTCGACGCGCTTGCAGTCGGAACGGGGGTCTTTGTTCGGTTGGCCGTGGTCCGCGTCGTCGAGATAGGGATGGAAGGTGTTGGAAATTGTCTTAAGCTCACCATCTATGATTCCAAATCCTTCACCGACCACACCCACTTGGTTGAATGATTCCCCGAAGGCTTTTCTGTAGATGATGCCATGTACTTTGCCTGGTTCTTCATGCCATTTTTTCTGCAACTCTTGAAATTCTTCAGTGTCGGTCTGCATGATAACAACATATCCACTTTTGCAGTGTGTTGCATTAGCAGTGTACCAGTCATCAGAGCCGTTTCGCCCGTAAATGATGATTCCGCCGTATTTATGACAACTTCCACTGTATGGGTTCGATTTACATGAAATGTGAATCGTACGAACTTCAAAACGCTTGTCATTTCCATTTGGTGGGAGGACTGTGAAGTGTTCACCTTCCCTGTCTAGTGCGATGCTAACCATAAATTTTGACCCAGCCATAGTGTATCTCAGTGGTCTTCGAGTCAGCTGATTGATTCTCACGTAAAAGAAAGGGAAACTTTTTGATGACCTAGATAAATTGTTGGTAAGATTCCGGTGAAGGCCTCTGGAAAAAGATTGCAATAATCTATTCGTTCGTTCTTTTGTATCATTCCATGTCATTTGGCAATTATTCACTGAAGTGGAAGTAATTAGGGGTGGATTTTTAACTAGCGAATTACGGCGAGGTAAATATGTATCTATTTCACTGATACTGAGGTGAAAAATTGTTTTCAGCGAATTCCGTTGCACGAGTTGAAAAAAAAGGGCAAACGGTGTAAAAAAAAATGCTCATAGTGAGCCGCAGGAAACTCTTGGAGTGGTGCTCATGCGCTGCAGAAGCTCCATGAGTGAGGTACCTCAGTCATGGAGCTCCCGCCGTGCATGACGTCACTCCAAGGGTTCAGCAGCGCGCGCGCCAACATCAATTTTTTTTTTAATGATTCTTATTTTTTTACTTGCGCTGTAGACTTCGCTGAAGAGGAGGGACTGCTCGAATTCTATGTAACTCTAGGCTAGCGATTTTGTCTTTTCGCCTGCTCGGAGATAAATAGTGCTTGCCTATCACTTTGGAACTAGCCAATGAGCGTGCGCGCAAAACAGCACTGAGCGCAGAGTATGATTCTTACGTCAAAGTTTGATGTCTTAGATATATTGTTCGGTAGGAAGCTGCCGAGGACCCAAGAAACAGTTTGTTAATAACTTACCTGCTGTTTTGAAAAAAAATCATTCCATGTCATTTAGCAATTATTCACCGAGGTGGAAGTAATTAGGGGTGGATTTTTAGCGAGCGAGGCCAATATCCACCCATTTCACCGATACTGAGGTGAATAATTGTTTTAGTACAGTCCAAACAAAAAACCGACAAGATCTGTTTTTTTTCTGTCAATATACCAGAAATGAGTCAGAAATTCAACTCTTAACACGCTATTTTATCTTTTTGGCTTCTCGGAGATGAATAGTACATGCCATTAACTTCCAAACTAGCCAATCAGCGTGTGTGAAAAGTACCCTTTACCTAAGTATGTGATGTTTTCTAATACGTATTTTGATTGATTTAGTTCTTTCGAGTATCTTAGAATTTGTGTAAATGAGATTTTTTCCTGATTTTAATTTTTCTAATTCGTAATTACATTTCTTGAAACTCGCACTTCATTTTTTCGATGGCGTGAAATTGTATTTCTCTATTCGAACATGCTAAGAGCGAAAGTCACTAAAATATTGGACCCAATGACGTGCTCACTACGATCAAATTCCTTTGGAGATATAAAAATGAAAAAAAAAAAAAAAAAAAATCAAAAGAACCAAAACAAAAAGTGAAGGACTTATGGTTAACTTCAGTACTTGAGGAAGGATGAGGGAGGATCTTCGAGAAGATATTGGAAGATGCGTTTTGAAAGATTTGTCTCTATCGATTTGAACCTCTGTCAACGGGCTGTACAGCCTTGAACTTGAAGGCAATAATAAAAATATGAAAATCGCTTTTGATTGAAATGTTGTTGCAAAGAATTCCCTATCATATAACATCAAGTGATTTACAGGCTTTTATTAAAAACAAATGATCATAAAGTACAAAAGTTATACGTGTATGCCAAAAAACCAACTCGCGAAGGAGCTCGACCTACCAGAACTTGCCTACTTTGTAGGACGTATCCCTATCACACAAATAGAAAAAGAGACCAATATGCTTGAACTTGCATCATGCCATACACATTAGCAAAAAAATTACAAATGTTCAGTGTCTTTAAGCTGCTACAGCTTTAAAGTGCCTATGAAGTAAAAATTTTTTTGCATAATTTTGTAGCTTATTATGTCCGTATTAAGGAATGACAAAAGAAATTTCAAGAAAAGAAATTTAAATCGGCTTTTTGGTGGCTCGAAGTCCCTAAATTAGACGTTATCGGTGTCTCCGGAAACTGGGAATGAGTTTGGCTCTGATGACGTAGTTGGTGGTTCTAGCGCTTTTGGTGGTTCTAGCGCTTTTGTTTGTCGTCTTCAGAACCACCTACTACGTCACTTCCTTAGTAAGATGAGATTTGACCGCGTGCAAAATGGACCCATTTCAGATTGCAAAATCCAAACTTTGAGATTCAAAACATAATACAAGAAAGTTCTTTTGGTCGGTCAAAATCGCTTAGCTGTGTTTATCAAGACATAAGCAAACAAACAGGGCAAAAAAAACTTTTACTTCATAGGCACTTTAAGACTTAGCTGTATGGCTTTACCGCTACTTATCAGAGGAAACTAAACTTTTAACAGCATGATTCTGGCGTTGAAGGAAGTTGGATCCAGCTTTCTTCCACCAATCAACAACCTTTTCTATACACCTTTTTCATTCTGGATACATTTCCACGCTGTTGCAGTCGTCGCCATCATGATGGTCTTTGTCCAGGTTGTGGTGGTACATCTTTGTCCGGGTGGGCAGTAGCCTGCAGTGCGGCATATTTTGGGCGCACGAGTGCACATTTTCGTATTAGGCCGCCATCTTAGATTTTGTAACTGTGGAGGATTGGGGCGAGGAAATAATTGCCGAGGGAGTAGGTGTTAAGTGGAAAAATTCCCTCGGCAAATATTTCCTCGCCCCAATCCTCCACAGTTACCAAATCTAAGATGGCGGCCTAGTACGAAAATTTGCACTCGTGTGCCCAAAATACGCCGGCACTGCAGGCTAGGTGGGCAGCGTCGTTGCGATAAGGATGGAAGGTGTTGGAAACTGTCTTGAACTCCCCATCTATGATTCCAAATCCTTCACCGACACCCACTTGGTTGAATGATTCCCCGAAGGCTTTTTTGTAGATGATGCCATGTACTTTTCCCGGTTCATTCTGCCATTTTTTCTGCAACCCTTGACATTCTTCGGTATCGGTTTGCATGATAACAACATATCCACTTTTGCAGTGTGTTCCGTTGGCAGTGTACCAGTCATCAAAGCCATTTCGCCCGTAAATGATGATTCCGCCGCATTTATGACGACTTCCACTGTATGGGTTCGATTTTACATGAAATGCCGGAATCGTGCGAACTTCGAAACGCCTGTCATTTCCACTCGGTGGAAAGACTGTTAATTGTTCACATTCGTTGTCTTGTGCTACGTTGACCATAAATTTTGAGCCAGCCATAATGTATCTCAATGGTCTTCAAGTCTGCTGTTCTATTGAGCACAAAGATTGATTGTTACGTCAAGGGGAAACTTTTTGATGCCCTAGCTAAATTTTTCGGTAGGAAGCTGCCGAGGCCCTGAGAAAAAGACTGCAATAATCTACTTGTTCGCTGTTTTGTATCATTCCACGTCATTTGGCAATTATTAACTAAAGTGGAAGTAATTAGGGGTGGATTTTTAGCAAGCGAGGTAAATGTGTACCTATTTACCGATGATAAATAATTGCTTGCCTATTACTTCGGAACTAGCCAATCAGCACGTGGGAAAAGTACTATTGTCGGTCTATACAATAGGAGCTTTAGCAACGACGACGGCGACGGCAACGAAAACGTCGTGTTGCAATCTAACTTTTCGTTTTTGTAACTCTTTCGAGGTTATTCCGATGTGTTTCACTTGGAAAATGCTGGCGAACTATTCGGGACTATATCACTACGAACGGCGTTAAAGTAAGGAGAAAGAAAGAAAAATCAACCGTCATGCGCTCACGTTCTCGAGAAAACCTAAAGTTTGGTTATTTCACGTTGTTGTTTTGCCGAGAACGGCAAAGAAATGTACCAAAATGTTAAACGCACGTGCAAGGCGATTGTTTTTGGTCATTAAGCCTATTGTTTTCTGCTGTTCTCGTTGCCGTCGCCGTCGTCGTTGCTAAAGCCCCCTAATTACTTACCATGATCGATTTAGTAATCGAGAAGGTCCAACTTGTTAGTCAGCCATAAAAATAAGAATTAAAAGGAAAGTTTATGCCCTCTCCACTGAGCAAACATCTAGGAAATGAACCTTCTTAGATGAGTCACTATTATTTCTTTAAAGGGGATCGATTCAAAGTGCTGCATCTTTACATCTATTGACAGTATTACAAATTAAATCAAGCAATTTATTTGGGAATAATAATAGACATTTTGTTTTTTTTGTTAATTTTTCTTAGCTTTATTTACCTTTAAAATCGGCTGTACATTCGTATCGTGTGACCGAAAAAGGTCGGTATTTGTCTAAAGCGCCTAAGTAAATCTTCAGTCTTCAATTCTGCGTTTGAATGGTCCTTGAATAAAGAGACCATAACCGTAAAGAGGGGGGGGGGAAATAAAACAAAAGATATAAATTTTTCAACCCTGGACCTCGCTATGGATTCTTTATTTTTTTTTTCTCCCAAGTCTCGGAGCCAATTTTGAATTTTAATATATCGAAATTGGCCCATTAAACTGTTGTTTCACACAACAAACGTAATCTCAATTTAAGATCCGCTCTCTCTTCCGACAACAAAATACTTCCTGCAGAGTTTCTTCCAACTCTTTTGGTAACAGCATAAACATAAAACCAATCACGATGGAAAATGCAGCAACTATTTTATAACTGCCAAACGTTGCTCCTCGGAAGAGGTAATCTGTCACAGCATTGATAGGAATACCGAGGACTGTGCCAAGAGAGATGAACAAAGGGTACGTAAAAGCGATGCCAAAGTTTATCAGGAAGTTGAATATCATTCCTAGAACTGCATTTCCACAGAGATATTTCCAGGGGATATTTTCCCATTTGAATTCTTCCCAGCGCGTATAATGAAATATGACTATCAGTGCCCAAAGAAATACAGTGCTCAGTAGACCGAGGCAGGACAGGAACAGAGAAACTTGACCTAATGTAGCGTCCCCAATGATCTTTTTAAACCAGACCTTAAAAGCAAAAGAGAAGTATAACCGACTATAACTATAGCTCCCGAAGCTGGGCATGACACCGAGTGGAAGCTAAAGAAAGCTTGTTTCCAGGACTTCTAGCAGTATTTCACTAAGTTAATGAAATTTAAGCGAGAAGTTCAGTTAAACTGGGATGTTATTCTGATTCTGTTAATTAAAACCTTTTTTATTTAATATTGTTACTAAGAAGTAGGTATGTCTGGATTTATGCCTAGTTCAAGCTAAAATAAATTAACCGAAAAGCTATAAAGTCGATGTTAGATTTTAGCTTTAGTTTCACGACAAGTAAAAATAAGATCCTGTGGACAAAGCTCAAGTTTAGAACTCCGGTATCCCTGGCATTCACTCTAAACTTTCCCACAAGGGACATCGATTGGTAATCTAAACCCTACTGCTATTTCTCTGGTTTTACCTTATACAAAGCAGCTGCGATTGCTGCAGTTACGGACAATATTACACCAACAACGTTGGGTCCTGCAAATCCTTCTGCATAAGCCATCATCACTATCCCTCCAACACAAAGTGCGACTGCTGAAATCTGTAAAGGCAAAAAAATAAAATGAGACGAGATGAAGGTCGTTACTGGGTTATGAAGAGGCTCCTCTTACATCGAGTTTCGTCGAGCTCCCCTCACAAAAGCATTATTAGAACTGCAGATATACTAGATAACGTTAAACTTTGAACCAATTTGTAACGAAACGGAGAAGAGATATGGCGACAGAAAAAAAAATAAAAAATCAAACTCTACAGACTACGTATCCCATCATTCGTAAAAGCATCATATATCGACATTCGTATCTTTGCGGTGAGACGGGAACTTCGCCACCAAGGACTTAGATAACCACGAGTCTCCTATGGCTCAGTTATAAAGCATTCGAAAAACTAGAAAATTTAGTTATATCATAATAAAGCTGACTGTTTCGAAGGTTAGCCCTTCGTCAGAGCGAAAATTCAGCTTAAGAATCTCTCTCCGAGGGCTCATTCACATTATTAACTCAACTGATACAACCAAACATCTCTTTACTGGTTTCAAGTTGTTACCAAGGTTTTTTCTCCTTACCTTAACAATTCCGAGCCTTTCCTGCAGCCAAATCAGGGAGAATAAATAAACAAAAGCGTTGCAAGAGGAAAACAGAGCCGTAACATCCGCTGCCCGAATGACCCCGAGGGCTCGCACATAAGAGTAGTTAGCTATCACCCACAGAAGACAAAATGGTCCCACGTATTTGAGGAGTGAGCTGAAGTGCAAGCGTTGGCTTCCAAAGACTCTCTCACTTTCTCTAAAACAATGGAAATAAAGATGAAACGTTAAAACATGTCACAAACTCGTCCCCACGGTCTTTTCTGCCTCCCTCGAATTAAAGGGAGCCAGGAGTAACGCAAACTACGTGAACCGCGGGAAAAATATAGTGAACCAAGTTGTGATTGGACTTAGATCTGCGTCTGATTGGTTTAGGTTGCGGTGTAAGTTTCCTGAACCAATAGCAGGATGAGGAGAGCGTGGTAACGAAAAATCAATCTTTTACTTGACTACAAAATTGTAGATTTTTCCTTAACTTGTTGTATCAGTTTGTTTGTTTGTTTATTTGTTTTCTAGGCGTGTGGACGATGTAGAAGCAAACTACGAGAGGATCCTGAAAACTTTGAGATGGAGGGTCCAAACTTTACTCTTAGTCGGGGGTGGGAAAAGGCCCTGGGAACGAGGTTGCCCTTTTGCCTAAGGGACAAGTCATAAATTAATTATCAAAAGGAGGACTGAGGATTTTGGGGGAATCGCATGGTTTTCAGCGGAAACACAGGGGTCTCAATCGTAGCCAACAGAGTCTAAAAGGGAAATATAAAAATTGACTACTAAAGAGGGTGGGGATAGGGGGATCGTAGGAATATTACAGAGCTTTATGGGGAATCAGGTGAATTCTATTTCGTCACAATTCTGCAAAGGGATCCCATGAGATTGCAGCACGCATGCGCTTGTCAGTGCTTACGCTTCGCGCGTCAGGAGAAGAAGCACGTTTTACCCTTGTTACGAAAACTCTTAAAATATCCCCTGGAATTTAACCTAATCGCCAATTTATCAAAGAAAACTTACAAGAATGACCGAGAACAGCATCTTGGAAGCAAGAACTTGAACAACGAACACTGCAGAAGGTTATCAGTCCTACTTGGGCTGGAAAACTCGATCGCTCAGTTAACCAGAGCATCAGAAACTCAAGCTGAGGCTTTTCATAGCCTCAAAGATGAGATTTTTCTTCAACCTGAACCCGCAGATACGGAAAATGAAGAGGATGAACCGTCCGGTGCACACGTTGACCCAACGGTCACCATGAATAATCTTATCGCTGTTGCGAGCAAAGCTGCCACTGCAGGACAGACTCTGTCCGGTGGCGCCAAAAACACATCAGCCTCAGGCGCTGATACAGACATATTAGATAGCCTGACTCGGGCTCTAATATCAAATTAAAAGAAATCCAAGGCTGTTGATGCCAAAATAGCCTCGCTCTTAGATAACAATCTCACCGGAGACTTTCCGGAAGCGACGGCAAAGGAGAAAGGCGAGAAATATCCGCCATCGGAAAACTGCAAACACCTTCTAACCGTAACGGTCAATGAAGAAATTTGGGACTTAATGTCCCGAAAGAACAGATCAGTTGATCTAGCTTTCCAAAAGGTACAAGAACCTCTTGTACAAGGTCTGTCGGCATTAGTGATGCTAGCTGACCACCTTGTGAAGGATATTCAAGAAACCAAGGGGTATCCAATGTGACCACTGTGACCTATGGTATCACACTAAATGCTGTGCCATTGGAGAAGATTCAAACTGCATCCTCGCCAATTCGTCTTGTACTTGGTTATGTGTCTCTTGTGGATTTCCGAGTTTTTCAAACTCGTTATCTGAAACCGATCTCGACCTGCAAAACTCATTCTCTTCAATAGAATCATTAACACACGATACACCAAATATGAACTCTACTTTTATACCTCAAGACACCAGCCCATGCAGCTCTGGCTCGAGAAGTCGAAAAAAACAGCGTAAGCCCAGAAACAAAATCTCCGGAATGATTTTAAACTGCAATGGCCTTAAAGGAACTGACGATATTACAAAATTCCAAGCTCTCATTGACTTATACAAACCTGATCTCATTCTAGGAACTGAATCCAAGCTGTTTCCGGAAGTCTCAACTTATTCTATTTTCCCTCAGAACTACACGGTGTTTAGAAAAGACAGAACTCGATATGGTGGAGGCGTCTTTCTAGCTATCAAATCGGATTTGGTGTGCATTGAAGAGCCTAATCTCGAAGTAGAAAGCTGTGAAATCGTTTGGAATTCTCTTAAGCTAACCAATTGCAAGACTATATATTTGTCATCTTACTATAGACCACCACACTCACCTTCTGACTCACTCGATCAACTGAAGGAATTCATAAGACGTGTCTTTTCTAAAGTTCAAAACTATCCAAATATTATAATTGGAGGTGATTTTAACCTTGGAGATATCGACTGGAAATCAAATGTACCAGCTCTAGTTAATCCAAATACAGCTTCTCAACCCATGAAGGACTTCGACTTTATGAAGGAAAATGACTCAGTGTTTGAATTTGTGTTGTCAGAACACATTAAACAAAGCCGTCCAAGCTAGACACCTCCATCTATATCTTTGAAGACATTTCCTCACGAAGGCACACTGCGTATACAAGCATATGAAAGAATATGTTGCCAAGACAAAACCACTCAGAGAATCTGAAACGAAACTTTTCATAACATGAATGTTAAACCTCACCACAGGGTTTCTAGAGAAACTATCTCTCGTTGGATACACCTAGTGATGTTCGATGCTGGAATAGATGAAAGTGTTTTCAAGCCCCATAGTGTCCGTGCAGCAGCAACTTCAAAAGCCAAAGCTGCATCTTTTCCCTTGCAAGACATTCTAAAGAGGGCTGGATGGAGCTCCTCCAGAACTTTTGACACATTTTATAACAAACCGTTAAAAGAGAACCCCTCTTTTGACATAGCTATACTAGACAGAACTGCTCAAGACTTATTCTAAGTAATGTTGTGAAGGCATTTATAAGCTGTTATAACTAAAGCAAATACACAGCTAATTTTATTATGTTTCTTTAGTATCATGTTATCCAATTTATGGTTGCATTTGTTTTACCATTAAAACAGACTTTATCACTTGTTATATAATTCTTGTGGGCTCTCATCTGAATGCATGACTTTAAAATCTCATGGGATCCCTTTGCAGAATTGTGACGAAATAGAATTTGAAAATTAAACGAGACTTACCTGGAAGTTGAAGTTTGATTTAAATTCTATTGAGTCAATCTGCACCAAGGGATCACATGCCCACCCTCTTTGCAAAGGAGGCTTTTGCACCCTACCCTCATCGCTTTATCATATAGTTAGGTACATATATAACACAGTACCTACTACAGGATACATTGCCGATGCATTCATAATCGAGCTGCAAAAACTGACGTGCGCATGCGTGCTGCAATCTCATGTGATCCCTTGGTGCAGATTGTGACTCAATAGAATTTCAATCGAACTTCAACTTCCAGGTAAGTCTCGTTTAATTTTCAAAATTTATCATGAGACCAACAAAATCTTCCGACTCCATCCCCCTTGCTCCCACCTCTCCCAGGCGATAAATAATGGCCAATGCGTAAACTGAGGACGAGGGCTAGAAGAATTTGATGAGATCTTTTTGAAACTACAGAGTTAAAAAAGGTAAGAACTTTGACAAACCTGTAAAACTGAGTTATCTTCTTTCCTCTGAGCAGTCCCCTCAAAGAATAGACAGG